TGTACAGGAAATCAAGTGGCTTGATTTAATGTAAGCTAGTAAAAACTGCTTTTGGTTGCAAATCAGTTGTGGAAGACTTCAGCCTGTTGAGGATCTGCAAATTAGAATTTACACTGGATAACAGTATTCTGTTTTAACAGTCAATTGCATGAAAACATAGGGAGAAATACCCTTTGAATAGCAATCAGTTTCATTCAGTTTAGCAGAGCCAGATTTTGACACTGTCACTCTTCCAAGCTTTTTCTTTGGCAAAAATATTTTCTATAAATATTCATAATTTATAGGATTTTCATATTTAAAACTATTTGTTTGGAATAAATTCTGTATTCAAATGAAAAAATATTGTCACTGTATTTGTTTTTCATTTACTGTGAACGCCATAGACTATTTAGACAGTATCTTAGGATGGTTGCCATGGTGCTGATGGCCAGCAATACCATGGTTTTTGAACGGAGCAGCCAGTCGGCGTCCATCTTGCAGCTGTAGCCCATGGTCACATCAGCTGCATGGCTCAGTCTTGCCTCCTGCAGAGGAAGAATGGGCTGCCTTCTCCTGTTCTGCCAGCTGATGAATCTCCAGCACGCAAATAGTTTTCCATCAGTGGTAGAATCTTTACAGTAGACATATTAAGTCCTTAGAGAGCCATATGCCTACAACTTACCTTCAGGAGCTAATACCCCATGTAGGGGCCAAGGGTAGTATTTGATGAGTAGTTTTACAAGGTGATAAGCTCCACGTGAAGATCCCTTCAGCTGCAATTAGGTCTGGGTGAAACCTGGCTGCCACGTGCCGTGTGATGGTGTGTGAGACTCATTACAGTCTTTCAAGTTTAATTACTACAGCCAGTATATGTGGTACATGAGCTCAGTGACACAGGTCCCTCAGCCTGGTTTCAGAAGGAAATGTGGTTTATGAACTAAGGTGGTGTTTCTGTCTAGACCTCTGTCCACCTATTATGTCATGCATGTCCCCAGATGATCTTTGAGCTTTCTACCATCTTAATGACATTTGAGAGAAGGGACAGAAATCTCTTGGTTTCATCAAAGGGTAAGTCAGGGTGGGAGTGATCTCAAGAGGTCTCTGGTCCAACCTCCTGCTCACAGCAGATTGTCTTTGAGGTCAGGGCTGGCTGCCCAAGTCTTCATCCAGTTGAGGCTTGAAAATCTCTGAGGATGGAGACTGGACAGCCTGTCTGGCTGTTATAGGACATGTTATGGACATGTTATAGGCCGACCATCTCTTCTTTCAACTCATTCCAGTTGTCTCTCATCCTTTTGCCCTGCACTATCTCATGATCTCCCTGGGAGCACTGGGGGCTTCTGTAAGGCCCATCCCCTCATCGAAGATATCTCTTAACAGACTTAACAAGCCTAGATCTCCCAGCCCTTCCTCACAGGGCAGGTGGTCCAGCCCCACCATCTCAGTGGCCTCCCCTGAATTTGATCCAGTTTACTGATGTCTTGTATTGAGGAGCCCAGAGCTGGATGCAGGACCTAGATGTGGTCTAACAAGTACTGAGTGGAGGGGGATAATGACTCCCCTTGACCTCTGTCTTTGCCCCTGTTCATGCAGCCCAGGCTGCTGTTGGCCGTTGTTGCTGCCAGGACTCACTGATGGCTGATGTTCCTCTCACTGCCCACTGGGACCCCCAGGGCCGTTCCCTCAGAGCTGCTCCCAGCAACTGGTCCCAACCCATACCAGCACAGGGGTGGCTCCTTCCCAGGGACAGGGGCCAAAAAACACCAACAGGCCCTGACTCCTCCACTCCTTAAGGCTCTGTCTGCCCTGCCCATGGCTCAGGATACCATTTCAGCCCAGCTTGGAGCCATCAGTCCCTGCCCCACTGATGCTGTAGGTCATTGGTCTCCATCTCTCCGCTGCCTGCCTGGCCAGCCATGGGCCCCACCAAACCTGGCCCCACCCACAGGCTGACATCCCCAGGACCAGGCAGCTATGCCAGAGCTGTGTCTGACCCTAGTTCCCCTCACAGGGACTGATCCTGATCTGCAGATTGATGTCCCTGCCTGACCTCAGCCCTGCCCCGTCCACACAGCCTGCTGGCTGATGTGGCCTCTCAGCTGCCCCAGATACTATTTGTCACAAGCAGGGCAGGGTGATGTCCCGCTGGCAGCCATGCTGCTGTGCTCCTCATTCTCACTCCCAGGAAGCAGACTGTCCTTGGTGTTCATTGGCACCCAAGTGCAGGACTCCTGTTGAATTTCATGTATCATTCCTTCACTCTGCCCTAGGTCCCTCAGGATGGCAGCCCTGCACTTGAGCAAACTGACTAGTCCCCCTGTTTGGCATTGTCTGCAAACCCAGTGATGGAGCTCTCCATCACTTCATCCCAGGTCAGGTCCCTGCAGTATTCCCATTGCCACCAGCTGCTGGGTAGTGACAACACATTAACCAGCCTTCTCAAGGCCCAAGCAACCATCCTGGTGTTTTTTTACCCATCTGGTTGTTTCCCATCCAGACTATAACTTGGATACAAGGGCATTGTGGGAGCCAGTGACAGACAGCTATGCTAAATCCAAGGTAAATGACATTCGCTGCTCTCTCCTCATAGAATCATAGAATAGTTTGGGTTGGAAGCAACCTTCAAGATCATCTAGTTCCAACCCCTCTGCCATGGGCAAGGAACATCTTTCACTAGACCAGGTTGCTCAAAGCCCCATCCAACCTGGCTTTGAAATCAGGGTCGGGTCATCCACAACTTCTCTGGGCAACCTGTGCCAGTGCCTCACCTCTCCCATATTGAAGAATTTCTTCAAAACATCTAATCTAAACCTACTCTCTTTCAGTTTGAAGCCATTCCCCCTTGTCCTATCACTACATGTCCTTGTCGAAAGTCCCTCTCCAGCTCCTGTAGGCCCCCTTAGGTACTGGAATATGCTATAAGGTCTCCCTGGAGCCTTCTCTTCTTCAGGCTGAACAACCCCAACTCTCTGAGCCTGTCTTTGTAGGAGAGATGCTCCAGCCCTCTGATCATCTTTGTGGCCTCCTCTGGACCTGCTTTAACAGATTCACGTCCTTCCTGTGCTGAGGACCCCAGAGCTGGACGCAGCACTCCAGTTGGGGTCTAACCAGACTGAAGTAGAGGGGCAGAATAGCCCTCCTTGACCTACTGGCCCCAGGGTTTTGATGCAGCCCAGGGTGTGATTGGCTTTCTGGGCTGTAAATGCACATTGCCAGCTCATGTCCAGCCTCTCATCCACCAATACCTCCAAGTCCTTCTCCACAGGGCTGCTCTCAATTCATTCCCTGCCCTTCATCAAGCCGTTCATTTGCAGAACTAGTTTATTGCCAAAGGCAATTAGGTCTGCCAGGCATGACTGGCCATTGGTCAATCCACACTGACTGCTCCCAGTCCCTTCTCAAATGTGCTCCCAGCTGGTGCAGAAGGAGAGGAAAGCTGCCCTCGCTGATCCCTGCACTGACAGCCACAGCCGGTGCTGTACTTACCTGGCCAAGAAGCACGTACATAACTCCAGTTTAACACTACACAAGTTTTCTCTTGCCTCTTATTAATATTACACTTGGTACACAGTGGAAATTTGTGGCTATCCAGAGGGAATTGAGGAGACTCAAGACAAAAGCAAGGAGGAAACCAGACTTGATAATTCCCCTTTCCAAGAACCTGTTTTTCATGATCTGTATGCACAGAGACTTGAAGTTCGTGTTATTCAAAAACAGGCAGCATTCATTTGTGCTCTCATTGCTTTGCATGTGAAAATCCAGGCTTGCCCAGAAGCTTGATTTAATTCTCCTACAGCCTTACAAGCCCTCCTATCTACTGACACACTGAAATACTTTCTAGTAGCAGCAAATGCTTCTAGTAAAAATGATAAAACAACCTAAGGAGACAAATCATTGGAGTTTTTTCCCGCTGTACTTGTATTCCAACATTTTAAATCCATGAAATTACTTTGTTGCTAAACTTTCTAGAGAATAATGCAGTAATCTCTCCTTCCCCATCACCAAACATTACTGTGCTAGGGAGACCACCAGCAACATCTCCTCCACAGGCCTCGGAAGCACTTGAGCGTGGGTGCATGCCTGAGCTGTGCTGGGGCAAGGCATGAGCTCGGCCTCCTCCTCGGGACAGGGAGCTGAGCCCAGGGGCAGGGAACAACATGCCAGTGCTTCCCAACAGGGTCCCCGCTCTGTCCTTCACTTCAAATACAGTCACTGTGGGAAACCCTAGAAACAGCAAGGAGGAATTTTAAATTATGTCGGGGGTGGGGGGGTGGGGGGGTGGTTGTCCTTTGACAGCAATCTCTGTAAATAAGCTGGCACGGGGAGTAATAATAAGCTTTAGAGAGAGATGATTTCTTTCCTTTTTAAATTCCAGACCACCTGTTCAATTGCCGGCTGAATTGCATCCTAACCACAGGCAATGTGTTGTTTGAGGAGAAGATGACACACACGTACTAATCATCAGCCTTTCAGCGTGTCCTGCACAGCGCCCACAGTCAGGGAACGAAAACCTCTCGGGACAGGCAAGCGCTGGGCGCAGCGCAGCCGCCTGCAGACTAGCGGGTCCGAGTCCCGCTCCTCGCTCTCACACCGCCTTTTCTGTATTTTCCGTGGCTCCGAACCTGGCCCGGCGCTCCCGCCGCCTGCTCCCCGCCCCGCGGGCCGTTCCCTGTGCGGGCCGGCTGAGCCCCGCAGCACACGGGTTCTGTCGGGGGAAGTTCTCGGCCCCCAAACTCCCTGGGCTACATCGCGGGACGGCCCGTACACGAGTCCTGCAGCTCGTCCCGGGCAGCGTGGGGGAGGCGGAGGAGGAAAGGCGGTGCCGGATTCAGGCGCCCGGGGACAGCCCGGCCCTTCCCGCGCCTCCCGCCGGCTCTGCCCGGCCCCGGCCGCGGCCCCGTCGGGCCGCCCCGCGGGGCGGGGAGCGGGAGCGGGGACGCGCAGGTCCGGAGGAGGCCCTGGCCCCTCATTCTGAGCGGACGCGGCCAGGGCGGCGCGGCGGGGCTTGGCGGCCGAGGGCGATGGGGGCCCGCGGGTCGCCGCTGCTGGTGGTGCTGCTGGGCGCCGCGTGGCCGCTGCTGCGGGCGACGGAGCCGGCGGACCCCGTGAGCGCCGAGCGGAGCCTGGCGTGGGGCCCCGGGCTGGACGCGGGGCTCACCCTGCCCGTGCGGTACTTCTACATCCAGGCGGTCAGCGCGGCCGGACACAACTTCTCCCGCTCCCCGCCAGGTACCGTACGTGTGCTCGGGGGCGCGCAGGGGCGCAGGGTGGAGTCCCTGCCCGGGGCTGCGATTTCTCCGCAGGAGCTGGACGGAGCTGCCTTCGCCTTCCCCTCTTCCTTCCTTACCCACTTCGAGCGCTCGCTCTGCGGTCGCTGGGCCCGGGCTGCCCCCCGCGACCGGTCCCGCATCGCCCAGTACGGGTCAAGACCTCTTCCTTCTTCTGGTGCAGCCCAGTGCCTCCTCCGCGGAGCTCTGCCTCTCACCCTTGGTCTCCTGTACACAGTGTGGGATTTACAGCAACGAACCAGCAAGCTACAAATAAACCAGTGCTCCTGGAGCTAGTGGATGTAAGATCACAGTACCCTGTTGGCAAGTGATAACGCAGTTATCTTTAATGGTGCACGCACACCAGTTGCTTAAAATTTCTGTCTCGGTCAGCACGGCCCTCTGGGCTCCGTTATCCTACTGCTGCTCCATTAAGGAGTAATTTTCATCTGTTATTTACTCAGCACAAGCACACACCATCCCATGACACTTCTCCTGAGGGTTAGAATTGGGTTTGTTCTTGCAGGCCAGCCATATTCTGTCAGTCAGCTGCTTGCTGCTGCAAGTTAACTCCACACACTCTATATGAACAGTTTAAATTTGGAATAAAAATTACTTCTGCATCGCAGATTCCATAATGAAGATGACCCTGAGATAGCCCCAGTGGAAATCCCATGTTGCTAATTTGTTAAGTAGGGTAGAAGCCACTTATTTTGCTCTTTGCTGTTCGTATAGATGGTGCTGAGAGGGTATCTACCAAGTATGCACAACCTCTTGGTGTCTTGCAGTTTGAAGGCTGCCACTTGTGAAACTGAAGAATAGACATACAAGTTATGTCTTCAGTCTGACAGATGCTTCACGTCTGGACTTTCTCCAGCTGCTGTTACAGCTTGTTGCTGGATTTCAGCACAGTTTTGTAATTGCACACAAGAATGCGACTGCACACTCACTGCCAGTGAAGTGGAGGCTGATTTCAGCTGCACAGGGGGAGCCTTGGGTTCAAGCAGGTTGCTAAAGGTGAAAAAGTGTGAAGCTCAATTGGATTCTCATGTTAGTTTAAAGCCTTCAAGATAAACTGGTAGGACGTGGGTCCTGAGAACATAGTTTTGACCTCAGTGTGTTCATGTGTGTTAATATTTATGTTAATAAATTCAATGTCCCAGGAAAGTTTCCAGGTCCCAATGCCATCTGGCATGGTGTGATCTCCATTCATACAGCTGTAGCCTCCAAACCAAGACAAAGCATGCGTGCTGCTGGCGGGGAAGAGCGATTGGCTCGGCCTGTGCTGACTGCTGAGCCATGCCAAGAATTATTTAGGAGAGTGCCAAGGATCCTTTAACGATTTAGAAGTACAATTGATCATATTCCAGTGTATGAGCACTGTTTAATGTATTCATATGGACAACAGGCTACAAACTTCCATTCTCAAATTATTTTAAATATTCAAATTCTATCTGTAAAATGTCAGCAAGAATTGCAATGAATAATATTTATTCACGCACTGCTTTCCAATATAAATTAAATACATCTCAAAATATCCCTGTCAGGATAGAAAAATAAATCTGCATTGTCACCTCCATTGCACAAACAGGAGCACTGCAATCAGAGCAGGAGTGCTGCAGTTAAGACTTCCCATTCGTAAAATTTGTGCAGATTTATTAAATTGTGTTTTGTGAGTATGAGAATTTCAGTCAAATAGGTCAGTACGTACAGGAATTCATTATGAAACTTGCATAGTAGAATTAGCAGATTTTAAATCCGGATTAGTTTTCTGAGTGTCAAGGCTATTCAGCAGAATTGACACACACCACTGCACATCGCACTGTGATTTCAACCCAGAGGCTGTAACTCTTTGACCCATCTTTGTAGGAAGATGCCAAATGATGCAGAATTCACTGTTTCCCTAGAAAATTTGTTCCAAAGATTAAAAAATCACAGCTGAAAATATAGTACTTTGTTTTAGTATGAACTGCATAGATTTTTTTTCTTTGAATACTTGGATTGCCTCATCCTTCTTTTCTGCTAAATTTTCCCTTAGGTTTAACAGCTGACAACCATGTGTTTATGTACCATTGACCATGATAAACTTAGCAGTTAACTGTTCTTCAGATGATCTACATACTTTGCTAACAAATATTTTTAAGGCCTCACAGGTATTCTTGCAGGTTTTACCGAATACTTTCAAAGAGCAGTGGCACACTTCTTCCAGCTCGTTGCTAAACAGAGTTAGTGCCTTTCAGTTAGTGTCTTACACTCATCTTTGTCCCTGGGCACTGCAGGACCTCCCTCGGGTCTGATTGACCATGATGCTTGGGGTTTTGTGAGGGTCACACACGACTTCCTACCATGACCTGTATTTCTTTGCTCCTGGATATATGTTCTCACATCTGACTCTGTTAAAGTATATGCTATTCATTCATATGCTTCTTCTTTGACTTCCTTCTCCTCCAAGAGAAAAAAATGCATTAAGCAAGTGTCACCATCAGGATTTCTTAAAATATCCTATTTTGACTGTGTCTGTATTTTTCTTCAGTATTTGGAAATTATTTTTTACTTAAAATGCTGTCCCAGACATGTTTTCAGGGTAACAGAGGACTACTAATGGTGATGATTCAAGAAAGACATTTTTTTTTTTTGGTCATTCCTTTGGACAGAGAGAAACAAAAAAACATAGGTGAAAGTACCATGGTAACCTTAGTCCAATTAAAAAAAAATCGGCAAAAACCTGCTATAATTAAATACTTCAATAGTACTTAGAGGCCTTGACCCCACTACACAATGAATGTTGTAAATCATAAACAGAAATCCTGTTGCCTTCAGTGAATGATTTGTACTTACATTAAATATTCAGTCTCCCCTTTCTTCCCCCCTGCTTTCAGTGGGGTTAGCTTTTTCCTGGGGAGTTCTGTTATCAGGTCACTTCCCTTATCAAATGCTTCCTGTAGCTGAAGTGTCACCAGCTAAAACTAACATATCCTTTGGGTAGATCTGGAGCTCCTTATATCTCTAGAGTGGTGAGGACATAATCAGCAGGGAAAAAGATCCACATAGTTATTTCCTGTAGGTGAGGACAAGGAGATCAAATTCAATAGTAGTTGACTTGTGATTTCTCAATATTCACTCATTTTTTATGACAACTGAAAACTTTGTTTTCTCTGGTAGGAGATCTCTATACCCAGTGAAAATGCTGTTTTATAAAATGGGTAGAAAGAGACAAAGATGTGATACTAGAAAGCTTATTTTCTCTGTGATCCTACCTCATGACATGCTCTGGATTTTAAGGCTTTTTCATCCAAATAATGGTAGGTGATGGTCATAGGGAGAGAATACTTGGTTAATGTCAGCCACTTTTAAGCAAGTTGAAAAAGGTGGTTGTGACGAGCAGTGACATTTAGAGGCAGACATGTCCATTCCTTCAGGAGAGTCGTCTAATCTGGAGGCTTTTGCACAGTAGTTGACTTGAATACAATTTCAGGATGCAGTGCTCTATGGAAGACATGATTGAAAGACTCCTGCATTATCGCATCAGTGCATTTATTTGTGGATGCAAACTGTAGAATTAACTGTAACATCTCAGTCGTTTAGTGCTGTTGGGACACATTCAAATTTTAGTAACACCTTGATTTTTGTCTGGATTTTTTTTGTTTCATTTATTTCTGTATACTACTTGGTGGTAACATTCATTGTATTTGTTTAGTTCACAGTGCTTAGACTGTAACATTTTGTGAATAATCTGTCCCCCTCTTTTTTTTTTTTTTTTAAGAATAAAGTTATTGTTGACCACTTGTGACAGAAATAAGGGAATATAACAGACTTACATTTATGTGTACTCGTCCATACCCAGTTTAAAAGTTATAGTGCATTAATGATGAAATGCTGGTGGTCTTTAAGCACAGGTCAGACAGGTGTCCAGGGAACATCTGTTATCATTCTCTTATCCCTGCTTTTCAGTAGCTGGGACTTTAAATGTGCAAGACAGTCAGCAGCAGCCCAAAGCTGAACAATTTGTATCTGACTCCTGCATGCTGCAACTGCCTTTCCACAAGCTGGCAAGTATTCTTTTCTCCTGTTATTTTAAGTTAGTTTCCTGTCTTTCTTACTCTAGAGGAAATTATTTTTCCTCAGGACACTAACTTGAAAACTTAGTATTAAACCTAATCTTAGCTTCAAAATACTGTTAAGCTTTCCTTCTATCTTGTAATCAAATATTTAACTTTTTATCTCCACTTAGAGGTTTACCATTTATAGGTATGTGATGGGCAAGAAAAGTTGGTAGGGTGATCTTTCATCACTGGAAATTAATCTTCCCAATTTGGTATAATTCTATAAAATTCTAGTGAAAAGTTAAATAAAATTCCGTGGTCTTAATCTGGAAGAGTTTGCTCTCACCTTTGTTTAGTGGATGTGATTCTAATAGCTCAAGGTGCTTTTATCTGGTTTTATTTTCCTCTTTTCAGGAAGAACACAGTTTAAAGTGGTAATTAAAGGACTTTCTCCAAATGAAGTCACCAGAATTTACACCCCTCTGCCTTTGGATAGAAATGATGGTACATTTCTTATGCGGTATCGGATGTATGGAAGTGTCATGAAAGGCTTAAAAATTGAGATACTTTATGGTGATCAGCATGTAGCTCAATCTCCTTATATTTTGAAAGGTAAGAGTGTTTTCTGATTTAATGTAACATATTGAAGTTCTGAATTAGGCTGTAATTGACACGGCAATACCTGAGCTGTGGTCGTTGTGGACAGTTAGAACTGTTGTGAATCCCCCATGTGCTTGGCAGGTTCACAATAATGGAGCTTCATTTTGCAAATTAATTTCACCTTGATAACACAAAATCTAGTATTTCTGAAAAGAGAAGAATATTGCTGTTTTCTCAGTTACACTGCTAAATTCCAGAAATTACAGGGAGGATGATTTCCCAGGAAAACTTAAGAAAACATAGAATAAAAAATGACAAGCCTCTGTAATGTCTACATATATATGCCTACATGTTTGGGGAATTATGATTGTTGGAGAATCACAAATACAGACTCTCAGTGCTTTGTTTTCCCCAGGACCAGTTTATCATGAATATTGTGACTGTCCTGAAGAAGACCCTGAGGGCTGGCAGAACATTATGTCTTGTCCATCCCAAGAACCTCAGATTACAAAAGACTTCATTTCTTTTCCCACCATTGACCTTCAGCGAATGCTTAAGGAAATCCCAGCAAAATTCAGTCAAACAAGAGGTGCTATTGTTCATTACACTATTCTAGATAATCACATCTACCGTCGCTCTTTAGGGAAGTATACAGACTTCAAAATGTTCTCCGATGAAATGTTCCTGTCACTGGCAAGAAAGGTATCAGTTTTGATCATGTAAGACAATTAAGGCAATATCACAGAATCACAGACTGGTTGGGCTGGGAAGGGACCTCTGGAGATCATCTAATCCAACTCCCTTGCCAAAGCAGGTTCACCCAGATCAGGTTGCACAGGATCACCACCTCTAGGCAGGTTTTGAATATCTTCAGGCAAGAAGACTCCACGGCTTCTCTGGGCAGCCTGTTCCAGTGCTCTGTCACCCTCACAGGAAGAAGTTTTTCTTTATATTCAGATGGAACTCCCCGTGTTTCAGCATGTGCCTATTTTCCCTTGTTCTATCTCTGGGCACCACTGGAAAGAGTGTCTCTCTTGACACCTACCCTTAAGATTATTCGTAGGCATTGGTAAGATCCCCTCTCAGTCATCTCTTCTGCAGGCTAAACATATTTAAATATGGCAGCATCACATCTGTTGTTGTATCTTCAGATTTATAATTCCTGAAGTAAGATTTTACTTCTGTTTTTTCCATCAAGACAACAGTGTATCTAAGGGGTAATGTGTGGGGGCTGGCCTTTGCAGTAATGAAAATGCTAGGGAAGCTGCCGGGGCAAAGTCCCGACTGCCAGCCATTTCCTGGCTCCTTTCATACTCCATGGCTTCTGAGTACTCCTTTCATACTCGCTTGTAGGGCAGAAGCTTGAAATTCATACGTTTAAGCACAGCTAAATCTATGAACTATGCGTTAGGTTTATTGAATCTGCATGACGTAAGAGAACTGAAGAATATATTTAAGACTGACAAACACCGTCTCTCTTTATGTTATTATCCTTTCTTGGGTATACATTTAGGTTCGTCTTCCTGATGTGGAGTTTTATCTTAATGTTGGAGACTGGCCAGTTGAGTATCGGAAAGCTAATGATACACCTGGTCCTATACCTGTCATTTCATGGTGTGGCTCTGTGGATTCAAGAGATATAGTCCTTCCAACGTATGATGTAACCCACTCAACTCTTGAAACCCTACGTGGAGTCACAAACGATCTCCTTTCCATTCAAGGCAATACAGGTAAATTAGAGATCATGGATTTAGAGAAAGAACTGTGATTTCCATCAAAGAAGCAAGTTGCATTCAAATAATGTGTTAAAGTCTTCAGTTTATGAGTACCCTAGGAGATCTCTTAATACAAGTAGGTTAGTCTTTACAGATTGTAACAGTTTCAACACTGCCACTGAGGAGGTGTATAATAGGGATTTAGAACCAAAAAAAGTACAGTTTGAAATAATGGTGAATTTTGACTTAAAGGTACCCAGAAGATACCTAGTGTGACCTGTCAAAAGAAAATATAATTAAAAAGCCTTTCTCCTCACTGAAGGACTCAAATATGTTTCTTCTAATCAAATAGTAATTCTTTGCCTGACGGTGTTGGGGCCCAATGTTCTGTTTACAAAAAATGAATTTGAATCCTGAAAGAAGTAAGCTATTATGCCACAGCTCTTTCAAATGAGAAAATATTGTCTGTATAAAAAATACCTCAGAGTGGGATCTTCTGAATTGTTTTTCTAGCTTTGAAAAAAGAGTCAGTTTTACTGACAGGTGTCTTCCTGTCCCCCAGAAATTAATGAATACTTAGGGATCAGACACATGGCATATTTGCAGTACCTAAGGAGTAAAACTTGAGTGAGAAGTTAATTATTTTTATTTAATTAGTTCTCAGATTCTCTTTTCTTTATTAGTTTTTAAATATTTTAATTAAATTGTCAATTCAAGGCACTCTGTGTTTACTGATTTAATACAGCTGCATTTCCAATTAGGAGACAATAAAAGAGTACTCCACTTAGTAGGCACGTCAAGGAAATTTTCAGCAGAAGGGTAAGGAAGGACATATTTAATGTTTTTAAAAGCAGGCAGTAAGCAGAGATGAAGTCTTTCAGGCTCTTGCTAAGTATCTAGAGGACACAACATAGCTATTTATTTTCCTTTTCAAGGTGTCGTTAAGTGATTCCTCAGGGACCTAATTAAATTGCTGGGTAACAGAAGTGGGTTTTGCTAAAGAAGTTTGGTTATTGTGGCAGACTTTATGGATGAAGAATTACTTTAATTATTAGTATTTTACTGATATATTTTATTATAATCCCTTATGTAGCTTTCAAGATAGCTGAAGTTATTTAAATAAAAACTTGTCTAGTGGAAAAGCAGTTCTCTGATTTTCCTTGTATAAGCATCTCAATTTCTCATCACAAAATTCAAACCAGAACTGAGAGTTTAACCCTATGATTCATAAGTGATTATGGATTCACTGGGAGAAACCATGCTTGTTTTACCATGTCTCTGAGTGTAATGCCACTGTCATACCAAGTTTCTTATTTGCATTAAACATACAATGACATTTCATTACTGTTTGCTTTTACCATATCTCTCAATTGTCATAGGTCCATTCTGGGAGAACAAAACTGAGCGAGCTTTATTTAGAGGTCGAGACAGCCGGGAAGAACGTCTCCATCTTGTCAAGTTATCCAAGGAAAATCCAGAACTACTAGATGCTGGAATAACAGGATATTTCTTCTTCAGAGAAAAAGAAAATGATCTGGGAAAGGTTCAGCTGATGGGCTTCTTTGACTTCTTTAAGGTAGCAAGCAAATTAGAGTTTTGCTGTCAAGTTCTTACCAGCTGAAAAGATAAGACTTACTTTTGTTGATTCTATTCAGTAAATAAAACAGTTATGCTACACTGGGAATACTAGTCCATGTGGGGTAGGTAAACTGCCTGTAATCAATGTCTTCTGTGACACACTTGTAAAGAAAGCCAAGAAAGACCCTTAGAGAGAGATCTGGGCTTATTTTCATTTTTATTTTTGAACAATTGAACTGAATTTGAACAATTGAATTGAAAAATTTGATTTCTCGCCATCCGTGTTGCTTTTATTTGGGGTAGATATGAAAAGAATGGACACAACTTGGATATACTGCAAGTACATTATGGATGTCAGGAAGAGTCCTTGGAGTAACAAGTTAAACTTTGTTGCACTTTAGCACACAAATTACACTGCCTCAGACATATAAAAAGTAAAGAGGACGGAGTCCTATATAAAGCCATTATAATACATACCCGTTGAAGTTCTGTTCCAGACATTGGTATATCAGAAATGCTGAGAACATCTGCCAGAGCAGTGCAGTCATGGTTACTTTTAGTATAATATTTCAGACTATTTTATATAAAAATATATGTTTCAGATTATTTTACATAACAATGGAATTTTAAGTCAGAATAAATTTACTGGTTTTGAATTTAAGCATAGATTAGTTTATTTCCTTCCCCACTGTACCCCTTGCTCTATCCTAAGACGCTTCAGTAGAATACCCATCAGGCAGTACCTGTGACACAAAGGTTCTTGACTGTCAGTCTGTGGTTGAAGACATATCCTTCTTCCATTATGTTATCCAGAACACCATGAAACTACACCTACTTAGCACTAAAATGGGTTTGAAGATGAGAATTAATAAACATGGTTACTTCTTGCTTGTTAAAATAATCATTCTTACAGTCAGTGTTCCCATTCTGATACAAAATGTTTCGCTTTTTTCCCTCTTCATTTTGTAGTACAAATATCAAGTGAATGTAGATGGCACTGTAGCAGCTTACAGGTTTCCATACCTCTTGCTGGGTGATAGTCTAATATTGAAGCAAGATTCCCAATACTATGAACACTTTTATAGTGGATTAAAACCTTGGAAACATTATGTTCCAGTTAAAAGAAACTTAGAGGACTTGCTAGAGAAAATAAAATGGGCTAAGGTAAGTTCCATTACAAATTCATGTTCAAAGTGATAAACAAACATAACAAGAATTTATCTTAATATTTTCTTCTTTTGAATTTCTACCTACATATTTTGCATGGAGTCTGTCAAGATCCTGGGATAAAGTACATTTTGTTCTTAGTATTAGATGGGAAGGCCTTAATTGAAGTAACCATCTCTATTTAGGGCAGTACGCAGGAGTTCATTTTAGGTGTGTGCAGAAGTGTTCATGAGTCAGAGCCTTAGTATATTGACTAAGGTACTTGTCAAAGAAACAACCAGAATCCTAGATACTACATAATTAATGCTATAGCTTTTTTTAGGCCCTGAGTGTTCTGAGAGTACTGTAGTTCTTCATAAGGAATCAGAGGGGAATACTAAAAGCTGAAATATAGACCTAAAAAACTTGAGAATAAGTACATGAATTCAAGCGGAGTTATTTTTAAAAGGAAGACATTAGATTCCACTGCATAAGAGAATACAACATCTGTGGGTTTGTCTTCTGTAAAACTAAGTATGTCTGGGACACGTCAGACCTGATTTTGAAGGCTTGGGCAAAAAAGTAGAGCAGTAATCAGTTTGAGTTTTCAAAATTGTACAGTTATTCCTGAAAGGTGTTATTGATAGCCCTAAGGTACCAGTTGTGACAATAAAAGCAATCCAGTATTTTTAAACAAATCTGCAATTTAAAGCATGCCTTTGCAGTCTACCAGTAATTTCAATAAAGTTGCAGATGTGAATAGCCTATTTAATAAAACTTCCATTGCCAGCCAGGCTTTGAGCAGCTCACTTATTTCTGTATTATTCACTTGTTCCATCCGAATTTTCCAGGAAAATGATGAAGAAGCAAGAAAAATTGCTAAAGAAGGACAGTTAATGGCAAGAGAATTACTTCAGCCTCACAGGTTTTACTGCTACTATTATAAAGTGCTCCAGGTTAGTACAATAGATCACTGCTACTGTCCTCCAGCTGCTACTGCTGCTGATGTTACAAATTTCACATTCAGTCCTTACTTAGATCAATAGCAGATATGGTTCATATTCACAGGAGATCAGTGTGAAGAGCTTTGCTAAAACCTGCTTTATCATTAAAGAGGCAACCTTACATAATAGTTGTTTTACAGAATCAGCAATTTTATTTTTTTTGTCCCCATCCCCACAGTCAACCCTGTCTTCAGTGTCACTTGGTATGTGGTTTCTAATAGATCTCTGTAAGAGATAATCTGTGTACAGTTTTCTTCCTTTCTCACACATATCATGAGATACTCCGTTGTATTACAAAACAGTGAATACATGGAAAAGAAATTACAGAAGTACGGCTAGTGGAGTGGTAGGGGGTGAAGCAGGCCCAATAGTTATTGCTTCCCTAGGAGATGCAAATCTCTAGTGAAAGAAGTTTCTCTTCTCTGAAAGTACGAATTTTTTTTCCTGTTCTACTTTGCAGTTAGATGTCAGCTTCAGCAGCCACAGGTTGTTACAAAGTTTGAAACTGTTCAGTGTACAAAAATGACAGCATTATCTGCACAAAGTGGTTAGAGGCACAAATAATGACAATATTCAAGTTACCATTAATAATAGGCAAAAACATTAAAGAGTGTTTTCAGAGGCAATGTAGCCTATTAGTAGGTGTGTTATAAAGACACCTTGTACAGAAGTTGTAAACAATGACATAAGGAGACTGGGTAAAGGTAAGCTTCTGAGTGGAAGGGAGGAGGAGAATTTTGTTTCATGAATTATATGTTGGTGCTTATAGCATTCTTAAATGTTGTTTACATATTTCAGGAATATGCCAAACGTCAAGCCAGCAAACCTGAAATACGGGATGGAATGGAACTTGTACCTCAGCCTGATGACAGAGACTCAGTATGCAGTTGCCACAGGAAAAAGCCTTTAAGGGAAGATCTATAACTGTACTGGATGGAGAAAATCACCCACTTAAAATGCAAGAATAAGAATTAAGCTGTGAAATCTAAGACACTTATGCACTAGCAAACATTCTTAGTTATGTATTCTTCTTGTATTTTCATACCCTTTTTCACACTCGCTCTGATCTACAACGTTGGTTCCCACAAGTTTGGCTCCATGACCACCACCAAACAGATACTGAGCCTGTAATGGGGAGCATCTAGGGAATTTGTTTGATGTACTGCATCATCAGGAAGAACACAGTGCAACTTGTGTTCCAGCAGGGAACTATTTACCAAAGTTTTGTGAGGAACCTATCACCACAGAAGATCTTGTCATGAGTTATTCTAAAGGAGCATTTGTAACATACTAAAACAGTGTTATGATTTCTTCATAAAGTTTACCTCAATTTTAGATGGATTCTTTTACACAAAACAATTTTCTAACTAGACAAAAGGAATATTTGATATTTACAGGTATCAGATCTGGTCTTGCTTTGAGATTATTTTGTGGTCTATGACAGGTAACAGAATAGACAACATGATATAATACTCATCAATTTTAGAGGAAAATGGAGAGGAGGGGGAGAGACTAGAATAATATGTTTATAAGCGTCATGGCTGTGAATCACCAGAATTAAATGCTACTTTAAAGCAGACTGTGTAACTATCACAATCACAATGTTTCTAGTGCCAACTCTGAAGACTTGTTCCCTGCCAGTGACTGTATCTGTGAATATAGACACAGATCCACAAAAGTACTTGGGAATTTCAGGCCAGGCGAAGTACTGGTGTCTTAGTTCAACAATACCATCTACAGTATTCTAGACTACTTGAAATCTGAAATTTGTTAGCAGAGTTTTAGACTACCTAGGTTTAACTTTTGTGTAGAGCTATGGAATGCCACCATCTTTTTCACTTGGCTTCAGGACTACTTCTTCCTGTGCCTAAGTCCCCTGGGGCATCTTACTGATTTTCTGAATTTGGATCATGCCTAACCTTATACTGAAATCAGAGAGTAGATCAGACTTCATTGTTTGGTTCACACATATGATGAAAAACCCTATGCTGCGCTTTCTATGTAATAGTGTAGGGGTTAGAGTCCACATTAAGCAATTGGGAAGCTAATTGTCCTCCTTGGTTTGATTTAAGTCAAATTTTCAAGAGAATGCCTTAGCTCCAGACTAGACAAGAGGTCTTCAGGTCTTCCACTTAAGTTGTGCAGCCATGAAACTCACAATGCAAAATTCACAGGGTCAGAAGGAGCTGGAAATACCATTGCAATAAAGTGTGCCTTTGGGTGGGACAGAATTAAAATCCTAGTCCTGGATGTGGCTCCAAATACGTCTGTTGATTTTTACCCAAGTTTGTCTACTTCAAAATGCATAAACAGTCCTGGAAGGAGACACCGATACCAAGACCAGCGCCCACGCACCCATTTCTGTCCTTTGCATTTTCACTGTGGCTAATGTAGCTGCCTGAGGAGCTTCCAACTCAGCTACACTCAGATTATACCTTTCCTGGATACCAAATTCTCCCTACCATTGCTTTGGTGCACAAAGTTTAGTGCTCTAAACCTCATGCTGGCTTAATTCATAGTTCTTCACTGCAAGTTACTCGTGTAAAATTTCTGCATTAGAACAGGAAGAAAGGCTAGATTTTTCTGTATGCTAAATATGAAAAGAACTTCGGGTTTCTAAAGAGGTTAACCCATCCATCATTTATTACATTATGCCAGTTAAGAAAAAATTCTGTAGTGTGTTGCTCTACCCATAATCCTCTTTGTTTTGGTTGTAACACTAATATATATAGTGGTTGTATTTTTATTTAGCATGACAATCAGTCCTAGACCTTCAGACTATAAAGATGTGTTCAACTGGTCTGACATAAAATTTTCTACATCAAAATTATGGAAGAGGGTTCCATTGCTGAAGCTGACACAACTGAGTATGGGCTTTTCTTTCCTTTTATGTGTACAGTAATTTTTACTGTATGGTATGATCCTATTTTTGATATCGATTATACCATGTGCATTTTATATTCGCCGATATTTTTGGAAGTGGTGTGCTCAGCAAAGACAATTAAGCATACCAGATGGTTGAAGCAACAAAGTTTTCTGCATATTTCAAACCAAAAGTCCAAAAATTATCCATTTTTATTTTTAAAAATGGGAGCGAACAGGGGGAGTCATGATGCATACTTTCTAGTTCTTTGGAAGTATCTGTGTAGGAAAACTTCCCTGGCTTGAAGTCTTTCAAACCAAAAGAAGAATCAGATTAAATGTAAATTATGAATATAAATAAATGTGAAATTTCATCCCTCCTTTCTTCCCTCATAAAAAAGAGGAAAGAAACTATTCTAAATTCTTCTCTACCAAAAAGCTCTTTGCTTTTATAATAAGCATCCCCTCAAAGCAAAAGCTGTTTTGTCACAGAATGCCTTACAGTTGCTTTTATAGCTTACAGGCAAGAAATATCCTGAAAAATATGAATACGTTCATCTGACAAAATTAAAAAAACAGTGTAGACATAGTGGAACTTTTACTAAAAGTCCATAGTACTTTGAGAAAATTTGGTTCAATTTATAACTATAGATCTTCCAAAGATAAAAGCCTTTCTTCTTTCCATTGGTGGTACTACATGCAATTTAAATGAAGAGCAATCATAACAATTGCCCCACAGGGCCAGAAAGGATGTCAGACCTATCTGAGTTTGATGACAGGATGATAACCATTGGCCTAGAGTGTTACAGGAATTGTTAAATACTCAGTAAAACCTGTTTGTGCAAGTAAAGTGTAATACATACATTAAATAGTATTTTTAGAGTAGAGTCTACTAAAGTAGTTCTAGAACAGCAGCTGTTCAAAGGTATAAAAATCTCTTGTTGGTGGTAATTTTAAAAAACAGTTACCGGGCCACAGTACTGAATTTTCCTATAGTAATTTCAGCTTTTAAATACAGGGAGTAAATCTGTCCTGTTTTCATCAAGAGTTTATCAGTAATGACAGAGACAGGTTTATTTGTTTGAAATAGTATTCCCTAAAGCCCAGGGCCAATGTTTTCAAACGTTGGAATCTACATAGAAGGGGTTGGACAGTTGGTCATGCAGAACTCTTTGCTTAGAGTTCTTTATTTTTAGATTCTTTTAACCTAAACAGTAGTTTCCTACTGTGAACACTGCTTTTATGTTACATCATATATGTCCTAATATATTTAGGCACCCGCATTTGGAAATATCCAACCTCAGTTTCATCTTGAAATGAGAACTAGTAAATCATGATCTGTTGAACATAAAGGAGATAAAAATTCATATATTTTTAGACTGTATTTCTTGAGATTTACCTCAAGATAACCAGTATACTAGTTTCATAACAGTATTATGCCAGGCCCGCCTTGTAGATTCATAATTAAAAAAACCCTATAATCAAAGCTTGTCTGATGGAATGTTAGATTCAAGCGTCCATCCTGGGAAGCATACGCCCGACATTTATTACATTATAAAGTAAATTATTTAGTTAGGGAGGAGAGCTGACGGGGAAAACATACATCACCTGTTTGAGCACGTTTGAGAAGCTTGCAAAGAAACTGTAATAAGGAAAAGAATCATTATATAAACTTATGATATCAACTCCTTTACTACTGCAGTAACTCCTTTACTACTTTTCAAAAGTTTTGTCTGTAAGGGCAAGATTTTTTATGAATATACTATTGTTTAGGTTCACAGGATTTAACCACCAGAATCTTCTTGCCTCTGAAAATTTTTACAGCATTTTAAAGAGGCTATAGGAGTACTGATGCTTGAGTTTCGAGTACAGTGCTTATGTTTTGAGTTGTTAATAAGAAAATCTCTACTGCAGAGAGCTGTGGCCCTAATTTTGTGTTTTGCTGTAAGATTAAGGGGAAAATGGCTACGTGCATGTCTGTTTGAAGTAATTTTAGACATCTGTAGGAATTACCTTTATCGAGTCCCGTCATGTGAGCAGTGATAAACCACAAGTGTATTAGCAGGAATGTGGCCAGCAGATCAGGGCAGATGTTTCTTCACTTCTGTTTGGTAGTTGTGAGACTGCAACTGGAGTACTGTATTCAATTTTGGACTCCTCTGTACAAGAAATACGTTGATGGTCCATGTTGACCATGGACCACCGAGGTGATAAAGGGGTTGGGACACATGGTGTATGAGGAGAAGCTCAGTGAGCAGCGTTAGGTCAACCTTAAAAAGAGAAGGTAAAGGAAAGATTACCCTGCTGAACTCCAGAGGGAGGGTGTAGAAAAGATGAAGCCAGACTTCTCAGAGGTACACAGCAGAAAGCCTACAAACCACAGGCACAAGCTGCAACGTGGCAAATTCCAGTAAGATAAGAGAAAAAAAATCTTACACTGATATCCCCAAGGAGATGAAGCTTGGCTACATGACCTCCAGATTCTCATTATTCTATGAACTACATTTCAGTCATACAACAAGCATTTATGTAGTCACATAGCAAAAGGATGAAAACATGCAGCTCTTCAGTGTCTCCAAGAGGCAGTGTAGCCTTTCTGTGCTGACACTTTTGACTCTGTTGATGTTTATGTCTCCTCTGATAATATTGAGAAAGTTTTGCAAATATTTGAATGTTGGATTATAAAGCTGTGAAATTATATATTAATATTATACATTATTATTATATATTACCACAATATATCATAGTCGTGCAATACACAGAAGATCTGACAGAAATAGAATGCATTAATTTGGCATTATATGCCTGGATTGAAAGTGCAAGATCTGCTTGTTCAAGAAGTTGAATATACACTTTACAGGAATGAGACAATTACAAAATGTTTTGAGTACAGTTACGAACCATCAAAGTTATTAATTTAAAGCAGTCAGTAGGAATATTAATGTACTTTATAAGTTATACATAAATATCAGCATGCTCTGTAGGCCACTGGTGAGTGATCATGACATATTCCTATCCCACTCCCAACTCTAAAAAAAATCAGTCAGGATCTGTAGAGTAAGGTTTTATTTGCTAAAATATAAGATACAGAAGAATCAAAAAAAATCATACCTCTGACATAACCACTCAAGCAAAATCCTACAGAGAGGAGATTTAATTCATTCTGGCAAGTGTCCTTAAGATAGTTTACTTACGCTGTTTGGCAAGATGAGTTATTTTAAAAATGTCAGGAATGTATGTTGCTGATAGAAGCTGCACTTCTGCCAATAAATTGTGCTTTCTACTGCCTTATGAACAAAGGTACTTTAATGTGGACTAACCCCTGCTGACAAACTCTGTCTTTTCACTCTACAACCATTCCATAGTATTTAGACTTTGGTATTTCCTCTATTTCCTGAAAGATTCACTTGTGTTTGTAAGGTAGTCAACCATCTCACTGATCCCAAACTTCCTGCAACTGAAAGTGAAAAGTAGATGTAAATTTTAAATACCTGATTTGTACTAAATTAACTTTTGACTCTTTAAAAACCCCAAACATTTAAAGGTGGTACAGATCACTTAGATTATGACTTCATAATAATCATAAATATTTGGCAAAACTTAAATGCAAGTACTACATACTTAAGGTGCAGAATAATTCTGAGTATTTCTTGTGGAATGGTTTCCAAATTTTGATTAGCTGCAGGAAAGCAAGTTTTCTGTGACAAAATGTTGTCTCAAATCAAAATATTCCCAAGGATCTAGAAAAACTGTGACTTTTTCCTGACTATTAATAATGCTATATGTATAGTGAATGAATACTATGGCTATTGCTATTTACTCTTTTGCAAGATAATATGATATATTTCCCTCATTACAGTTCCATTCCAGTCACAGAAACACACACTAGCAATGGGATCTTTTATTTCAAGTTGAGAGACACAGGAAAATTGGCTTTTCCCTGTAAAACGTGAGCCAATCAACTCAAAACCAGGCGATCTGTGCACTGTAAGATGCCAGTTGGAATGAGGTCTCCTCTAGGGACAGGTACCATCATATGGTTGTTTATGAACCAAATGAAATCTTCAGGAAGTCCTTCATGAACACACAGCTCTGAATCCCATTCACTAGGAAATTCAAGTATTTACTTGAATCTGATGATTGAACTACCTCCATATGCAGTAGGTGTTTCCTCCATTCCAGTCCCAAGTCAGTATTACTCCAAAGACAAACAGTTCTTCTGCTTATAAATTATCACCTTCAACCTTCTCAAGCACCTATGGTCCACTATCAAATGTGTTTGTTATATTAATTTAATATTAAGTTACACCCTGCTTTGATGGCATGCAGTAATGTGTAATAGTTGTCTAACTGGATCTGTTAAGTAGGTTACTAGATGCAGTTGTCATCAGTTCCTTGGTGGATTATCTTGTTAAGGAGGCCATTAAAAATCACTTTTGATGGGGAATACAAATTATATTTACATAGAAAGGCCAAACTCTGGTCCCATTAGAGTAAATGGCATTGGATTTTTTGCTGAGTTCATTCAAATTTGTAGCAAAAAATAAGGTCTTGAAGATTACCTGGTCCAATGAAAAAAAATAAGGGAAAAGCACCTACTATTCATAGGCAAATGAAAAATTGGCTTGAATATCTTTGGGTTTAAGGCACAGTACATTTAAGGCTAGCTAAGCAGTTTCCTATTTCTAGGAACCTGATATCTTAACAATTTGTCCCCCAAATCAATTCTCTTGAATGCCTTCATCATTGGTCAAGACTAGCTAAAAACCTAAAGCAAGTAAGAAATTATGCAAAACTGGAAGAGTTATGGAGAAGAAATGTTTATTTCTTACCAGTTCGCTCTATTTCTTGTGGTTACACTATCAAGCACAATTTTAACAACTTATGCCCAGATATGAAGAGTCTAATAAATGTGGCTGACAAACTGTGATTTTCAGGGCAACAGAAGCAACATCAACTCCCACTGAACTCATAAAATTGGCCCTTGAAAATTACATCATATCAAATTGTAGTCTCCTAATTGCTTCTGGTTTGTTCCAAAGGAATTCTCAGTTCTATTGAAAAAGAGAAAACTGATAATGATACTAATAATGATACTGTTAATGATACTGGTCACTTATGTAACCCAGTGCAATAAGTAAGAATAAATCCAGACATTTTCTGTGTCTTCTTGCTTGAAATGGTTTGGCTTTTACGGTAAAACTGTGTTAATTAATCATCTTATTAATTTTGAACTTCCTGAAGTGGATCACTATGCTACATTGTCCTAAGTTAATAAATGGTTAAAGTCTCTTTTCCATACTCAGCAATTGCATGGGAAATAAATTTTTTTCTGATTAAATAAATATATTCTGGTAGTTCCCAAAGACTTAGAGTTGTTGCCTGAAAAGAATAAAGAATAAAACTAAGCTAAGGCTCTTTTTCACACAAGAAATATTGTGTGAAAAAGGTTTTGAATTGAATCAAAACCTATAAAATTATAGGTTTTGAATTGAATCAAAACCTATAAAATTTCTCCTCTTTTACTTCTTGAAGAACCATCGGATCATGAAGAATCAGTTGTTCATTGATTGCTGAGACAGATTTTCCCTTGGGAAAGAACACAATCAAAGAATACAAATCCTGAGTGACAAAATTAGTGTTTTGACTTCATAGGAACACTTGCTGCAGGCATGGAGCTGGCAGGTACTCCCTTGGTTGGCATCTCAAGTTCTGAGAGCCATGACACCTCTCCTGGCATTTCCCTGTTATCAGGCAGAATTCACTTACAGTAGGGAAACTATCCCCTGTATTTTCAGTTAGACTAGAACTTATTACAGAGTCTTCTCCATTCTTCTATTGAACAATGTTGTGTATTTATATTTATAGCTACCTATTTGTATAATAGTGTACATACATTTGTATTCTTCCCATATTGTCAGACTAATACTTGTCTGGATTTAGCTTTGCATTTTAATTTAATATTAAATTACATGTAATTGCTTTCTGTAGTAAATCTTAATTTGGAGTACTGATGAAGACGAAGGCCTCTGGCAAGAGCTGGCTCTTAAAACTGGCCTGAGTACCTTTCAAAAGCTGTCTTGTGTGTTAGCATACCTGGGCCTGCTTTCAAACAGAATTTATATTACTTGCACAGCTTTTTGATCACTGTTTCAAAGTCTTTGAAATCAAGTTGCAATATCATCATCAAATCTAGGGTGTGTTTTTTGTTGTGCTTTACATCCTCTTCTTGGTTCAAGGATTTTGAAGCTCTTTCTTACATAAAAGGCAAAAGCTTTTATGAAACAGTATCTCCTGGCTTAATCAGTAGAGGAATTCTTCTGTTTTATCTGTCTGATTTTATCTAGCTATCTGATCTAACAACATTAGCCATATTTAAGAGGTTTATTTTAAAATAAAAAAATAATAATAAAAATACTTTAGTTGTTGTTTTGGGTTGTTTTTATGCATATGATAAAGTAAATATTACAGGATAATAAGGGTTAATAAATCAAACTGAAGTTTCTTCTTTCTTTGATGTATTTAAAATTTCCCACTCCCTCAGTCTGGATCTATAGTGTGAATATGAAAGTCATCTATCAAGTCTTCACATTATGGACAAAGAAACTCAAAGTAATACACATGCTGCTACAATATCTAACTGGCCACAGTTAGGCTATCCAGAAATGAAGGGATTTATTAGGTTATCTAATAATGTCTGATTTAAGAAACAGATTCTACCTACTTACTAAAGTGAAGTACATTACATAAAAATACAAAGGGACATATATATCCATTTTAAATGGATTTATAGGGAGATTAAATTGTGTTTCTTCAACTGTCATTGAAATCAACTTTGTCATCAGTGGGTATTATTTCCTCCTTCTTATATTATTCTTTAAGAAATTAGATATTCTGACAGGGAGGATATCACCGATGTTCTCCTTCCCGAATGCTCATGAATTTGACTCTAATTTAAACTCTTAAACTATTCAGTAATAGAAGTATCATACTAAAAAAATATAAAATTAAAAAAAATGGCCGAGTCACCCCCCAGTAGCCATTTGACACCCCTGGCCTGCAGCAGGCTGGACTTGCTGGGGGGCACCAGCTCCCTGAGTCACCCCCTCCTCCTGGCTTTCTCCTCAAGGAAAAAGGTGGGTTTCTGTGCTCATTCCCAGCTGGTGGGAAGCACATTTCTCATGTCATGACATGAGTTTCAACTTGTGGAGGCACCTGCCATTCAGGATGAGGGGGAAACAAGCACTGTGGAAAGATAAATGGACCCAGAAATGTAAAATGGGGGGTAGTTTCATCATTCAGGCACTGGGATTGCGTTCTGTGATCTTCATGAAAGCTGTTAGTTGGAAAGGACCTGCAAGGATCATCAAAGTCCAATGCCTGGCCCTACACAGGACAGCCCCAAGAATCACACCACGTGCCTGAGAGCAGTGTCCAATCATTTCTTGAACTCTGTCAGGCTCGGTGCTGTGACCACTGCCCTGGGGAGCATAATCCAGTCCCCAACCACCCTCAGGGTGGAGAACCTTTTCCTAATAGCCAACCTAAACCTCCCCTGAGACAACTTCACACCATTCCCTCCGGTCCTGTCACTGACCACCAGAGGAAAGAGGTCAGTGCTGGCCCCTCCTCTTCCCCTTCTGAGGAAGCTGTAGACTGCAATGAGGTCTCCCCTTAGTCTCCTCTTCTCCGGGTTGAAGTACTATGTTTGATAAACAAAGGTGAGTTGGGGGGACAACCCTGGGATTTTTCCATAAATTTTGAGCTTTTAATACAGTACAAATATTTTTTGAAGCATGACTTTTTGTATGCTCAAAATTACATACCAAAACAAGAGTTTTTGGGAGCCATGGATCTTCAATCATCAGTTTTCCCCTTGGAGCTTTCTTAAACCAGTATCTTTTGGAGAGTAAGATGTTTTATATATAAGCTGGTTTTATTTTTGTGTGTGGTAGAGTTCTAATCACATTTCAATCAAGAAAGAAGAAAAATTTGTATGAAAAACCAATTTCTTTTTGGCTAGGAATATTTCCTGAGGCTCACTTGGTACTCACTCGGATGGAAAGTGACAGGAGGTCTGTGATTAAGTAATTAGCAATAAGAAATACTACCTCAGTATGTACCTCATCTCATTAGTATTTTGGATCATTTTCTACATTTAATTTTCTCATGTTTTGTTGCAGATATGTTTACACATAGTAGAAAATCTTGCATCTTTTTTCACATAAACCCTTGTTCTCTTTTTCTCCCTCTAATAATGAGGTTTGTATAGGTGTCATCACTGATAGGGCTGCTCTTCGCTGGCTGAAAATGTAGAATCTCATTGGTAGTAATAGAAATTGTGTTTATGTATCAAAAAGAGAAAGATCTTTAATAACCACTGCCTGTGATTAATTCTGCTGAAGGAGAAACATTGATAGCGGTTCCTTTAGTCAGAGGCTGTATCTTTTGTATTTCTCTAGAGATAATAGAAATTATGTTCTGATTTATGAAGATGAGAATCATAGTATTTAGACATCTCTAAGTCCCTTTAGCTCATGCCTTTTCTGCCACTGATAATGCAGATTTGTTCATTGCTAGATACTTTTCCCAGTCTAGTGCTTACATCTTCCAGGAACTATTCTTGATTTTCAGTTTAAGCAGCCTTTTTCTTACTTCTTAGTTTATTGCTAGTTTCAGGAATAATTTTTGTTTATCTTAAGTAGTTCTTTTCTTCCTTGTACTTAGAAATGTGTATCCCATTTATCTTTTCAGGAAATCAAGCTTTTATTTTGCAAGTATTTGTGTCAGTTTGAATCCTTTCTTCTGCTTTTCAGAAAAGATGCACTCCTCTGATTAGTTTGTGTGACACAAGGAGTTTGTGTGGAAATTAAAAAAAAAACGGTCTGTAATATGAAATTAAAGACCATGTCATTATATACCAGATAAAACAGTTTGAATTAACATTGGATAAGAAATTAGGTGTGTGGCATCCCTAAGGATGATCCCAGAATTATTCTCAACTCCCACTGGTATCCTGTTCAGCCTCAGGTCCATCTCTCATCTCCTTTCTGCTCCCTAATGATACCCGTCTGTTTTTCGGACCAGCTCTTGAGAGAGGCCACTCACAAACCTGCTCCCTCTTTCTTTGCCTTTCGATATATCTGCTCTTTCCCTTCTGTGCCCTTCTGTGTAAATCCTCTTTTTTCTTCAGGGCCATGTACCTACAGAAGTCATTCTTCCATAAGTAAGGACCTGTCCTACATGTTTGCTTGTCCAACAGATGACCGTAATTCATCAATTATACATTTATTATCTGTTATTACTTAAAAGAAGGAGGAATAGTATTCTTTAAGAGCCACAAGCAGTTACTAATGGCCAGAAAAAAATTCAAGGAAGGATATGATGACCTGGTTTTATTAAAAAAAAAAATAAAATTAGGTAGTATTAAAACATTATTTTTCAAAGTAGCTCTGTTAAATCTAAGCTGGAGAAGAGGAGCTGAGTTTTACTCAGTAATTATTTCCAGGACAAATAAATTGAGGGATATACATGCAGTATTGCAAAATATTTTCTAAGTAATGAATGTAGCACTGTGCTTTATACCAATATATATTTCTCTCTGAAAGCTCTTTCACCATTAGCTTGTTCTAATATAAAAATAAACTATTTCTTCTAACAATGTGTTGCATTTCTTCCATGTGAATATGATTTATTGGACCATTCCAAGGACTGTGATTCTTAAATTCTCTAAGGTTGGGCATGGGAAAATCTATTCACAGCTTTTTTCCACAACTGTAAATTACAAAAACTATGCCTTTTTGTGTGTGTGTGTATTTGCACTTCTCTACAGGATGCACATATATTTCGCTACAATAAAGAACTTACAAGTTTTAGAGGAACAGATCTTCCTCTTCTTGGTGAAGGGTATTTACCTTCAGGAGATGAGGGCTGTACAAGTTACACAGTACATTGCAAAGCGAGATACTTACATTCTACTAGTGGCTTGTGTTCTACTACTGGCTTGTCTCATTGTTTTGTAGTTGTGGGATGGTGTTGTAAAATGAGGCTTATTATGGCAATGTAAATCAAATAGTTACTTCTGATTGCCCCCAGTGTTTTCTGGGTCCCACATTTACGGGTGCACTGTGAGGCTGAAAACAATGGAAACTATGATCCAAGGGAAAACAAAACTGAACAT